TCGTCGTCGTCGTCGTCGTCGTCGTCTTCTGTCTTTCCTCGTCGTCTTTGGCGTCGTCGTCGTTTCCGTCGTCGTTGTCGCCGTGGTCGTCCTTCCTCCCTCGTTGTCTTCGTCGGCGTCTCGTCGTTGTCCCTCCTATTTCGTCGCCGTCGTCGTCGTCGTCGTCGTCGTGGTCTTCACTCCTCCCTCGTCGTTATCCTCCTCCCTCGTCGTCGTCGTCCGTCGTCGGCGTCTCGTCGTCGTCCCTCCTATTTCGTCGCCGTCGTCGTCGTCTTCGTCGTCGTTGTCATCGTCGTCGTCTTCCCTCCTCCCTCGTCGTTGTCGTCGTCGGCGTCGCCGTCCTTCCTCCTTCTTCGTCGTTGGCGTCGTCGCCGTCTTCCCTCCTCCATCGTCGTTGTCGTCGTTGTCGCCGTCGTCGTTTTTTCTCCTCCCTCGTCGTCGTCTCCGTTGGCGACGTCGTCGTCGTCTTCGTCGTCGTCGTCGTCGGCGTCGTTGTCGTCGTCGTCGGTGGCGTCGTCGTCGTTGTCGTCGTCGAAAACATTGGAGACGTCGTCGGTGTCGTCGCAGTCGCTGTCGGCGGCGCCGTCGTCGTCGATGTCGCTGTCGTCGTCGGCATCGGTGTCGTGGCCAAGTGCCACGCAGTACCTACCGTGACGGTCTTGTCTGAAGATGTCTTGCGACCAAGTTGCGGGTGGGAGGGTGGGATGTTTGCACGAGCAGTGGAGAGGACAGCTTCAAGACAGTCGAAGTGGACCCGCCCCGTAGAGTTTGCCTGAAACTAGTGCTCCAGCGTCGGTATCCCAGGAGTTCGGGAGGGAGCAGGGGCGGGGGAGGAAGGAGGAGGAAGGGGGAGGGGGAGGGGAGGAGGGGAGGAGGAGGAGGAGGAGGAGGAGGAGGAGGAGGAGGAGGAGGAGGAAGAGGAGGAGGAGGAGGAGGAACGTTTTGGCAAGCAACGTCGTGCAGCGGAGCGGGAAGAGGGGAGGAAACCCACGGCGCGCCAGCGATTGAGCGCTGGGCCATGGCACCGCCGCAGAGGGCGGGGGGGCTTCAAAGGGGGACCCCGAACCATGCCGAACGACGGCGGCCGCCCACCAGCACTCACCTGGACTCATCCAGGGATCTTAGGCGAGCAGCTGCCGCCCCCTCGGCGCACAAGCGATTGAGCGCTGGGCCGAGGCACCGCCGAAAGGCGGGGGGGTTTAAAATGAACCCCGAACCCACGAGAAAGCGCCGCCCCTCGCCGAACGGGTCCGTCAACGCACCCGAGCGAGCTGTACCAGGACGCCCGCCTAGCGAACCACGAGGAGGAAAGCAGCGCCACCGCCGCGAGCACGAGAAGCCCGCCGAGCGCCGCCAGCACTCCCCAGGGGACCTAACGGTTCAGCTGCTCACGCAAACACGCCCTGTGAACGGCGCTCTGGCAGCCTTCGCAACGGACCATCCTGTCGCGGTGCTGGATGCTGTCGTGGCACAGCTCGCAAGCGACGCCGCCCCTCGGTGCGCTCCGAAGGCGGAGGGCCGAGGACAAACAAGCGCGCAACGAGTCGAGGATGTCCTTCACACGCCTCCCCGACTCGATCACAATATTGGCCAGGCGCCGCTGCACCACGGAGAGCGACTCAAGGTCCTCAGTGTCCTCGGGGTACCAATCCGCATCGATGGTCGTATCCACCCTTGAACTATAGTCGGGGTCGAACTTTGCAGAAGAAGCGACAGCATCAGAGCAAACATGGGCCTCCGTCAAGTCCATCTGCTCTGGAATGGCAGAAATAGAATCAGCACCCGAATGGGCCATCTCCTGACCCGTTGGTGCTGGAAAAACCTGCTCCTGATGCAACGTCATAGGCTCCAGCACGGGCTCTTCTCCCAAAACCTCAGAGCCATCGGCCACGACCTGCTCTCGAACTCTTCCCAGGGCCCCGCGCGAGAACCGAAGGGACGACCACAGTGTCGTCCAGGAGCCCAGCCGACTGTCCCAAGGGGGCCTGAACGGGGAAGTCGCCGTCGTTAACGTCGCACTCGAAGTACGCGCAGGGCACAAAGGCTCGGCAGCGGCGGATAGGACCGACTCCCAGACCTCGGGCGTCTCCATCTCCTGCGTGATCCGAACCTCGAGCCGTGGCCCGTGCTGGGCCTTGCGCAATGCGGCCGCGCCCGCAATGGAGACGTCAATGTCGCTGGCATCGGCGTGCATGGCGACATTCCGCCGCAACACCTCCAGCCATGTGGGCGCGCGGCCCTCCAGCTTGGCCTGCAGCACGGGCAAAACCGCCCGCAGGCGCTGGCCCACCTCGCTGCACCCCGCGACTGCGTCAAGCGCCTCCTCCGCCACGGACACAAGCCCGCGGAGGCGCCGTACCTCCTGCGAGAGCTTCAGGACCGCTCGGTCCGCAGAACGCCGCGCCGACTCTCTTGCTGCCTTACGCTCCTCTGCAGAACGCCGCATTGTCGGGTCGGGCGAAAGGGGGGGATAGCAAAGGGGGGGTTTGAGAATCAACTCACGTAGCTGATTTTCCCGGCGCCTCCCGGCGCCGGAGGCGGCTATGTATCGAGGAATGGGCCCCTCGGTGAGGCCGAAACCAGCTGCATGCAGCAAATTTCGTAACCCCCCCTTTCCCAATCCCCCCCTTTCGCCCGGCCCGACATTGGCGCGCACTCCGCGCGGCGCCTGCTTCGCCCTGGCCGCGCGCCTCGGGAGCCTCACCGCGCGCGAGGTGCCCAAATGGCTCCCTCGCCGCAACGCCGCGGAAGGACTCGCTGCAGCTCCGTGCGGGCCCGTGCGAGCACCGTGATTTCCCCCTGGCCAAGGTCGTCGGCAGCGGGACCGCGCGCGAGCGCCTTCCAGCCGCGAGGGCCAGCGCGCACCGGTCCCCAAATTCTATTTGCTCCACCGCTGGCTCGTGTGCTACAGGCAGAACGTTGCGCACAGGACACGCGGCAGGGCACAAGACTCTTCCGACGGCAACATGGCCTCCAAAACCACAGGACGCAAGGGTACCCTGCCGAGGCCGCGACGCGCCCAGAACGCCGCGGGCCAAGCCACCGACACCCGCGGAAACCACAGGACGCAAGGATACCTTGCCCCTGGGCTGCCAGAGGACACGACGCGCGATGCACAGGACACAGGAGTACCCTTGATTTGGCAGGGTCGACCTGCTAATCCTGGCCGCCTGTATGGGAGGGAGGGCAAACATGGGCTGGTCCGCTAACTCGCTCGACGTGGTTAGCTCGATTCCCCCCCCCTTCCTCCCCTTGTCAACTTGCTCTCCCTCCTGACCCCCATTGTCTCCCCCCTTCTCCTGTCCCCGCTCGTCCCCAGAAGGGGAGGCCAAGAACGGTGTGGGGGGGGTCTGACATCTGGCATGCGGGCTTCGCTGGAAAAAATGAACTGTGCTGTGCGCTCTGCTTGGACACCCCTGCGAACCTCTCACGGATCGGGCTTGTCAACCTGAAGCAGCCTGGCGAAGAGTCCGACCGCATGCGGCTGCGTGTTTCGCGGGGCGTGGCCCGCTCTTCATACAGCCATCGTGCTACCACAATAGAGGCCTCCTAGATGGGGTCGGAGAATTGCACCGCATCGCCGATATCCGCTGATCCGGCGTGTGAGCTTCAAGGAGTCTCAGCTACAGCCTCGAGGCTGAGCCTCAGCCTCTGGGGGGGTTGCCGGGGTGGCTCTGCCGGGGAAGGGGGGGTGGGGTGGGGTGCATGGGGGGGGGGGCGAGTTTCCGGCGGATGCGTTTTTTGACACCCCTCACAAGGATCGTGGGTTCCGACTCGAGTACCACCCCTCCCGCACCAAGAGGCTCCGAGGAGGCCTCCAAGAGGCCCCAAGGGGCGCAGAAGAGGCCCCCAAGAAGCCCCAAGAGGCTCCCAAGAGACCCCCAAGAGGCCCTCTAGTGGCCCCAAGAGGCCCAAGAGGCCCCCAAGAAGCCCCAAGAGGCGCCCAAGAGGCCCCCAGAAGTCCCAGCCAACCACGAGATCCCAACCAGCATCCATGAGGCCTCTGACCCACCACCCACGCACGGTGGCGGGATAGGCCGACGGCCACTGGATAAATGCTGAGTGAGAGGAGGGGAGGGAAAAAGAGAGGAGGGACGAGGGCGAAGAAGGATCACATCAGTCGGAGCGCCCCGGATCGGCGGCACTGGCCGAAGGCCACTACAATATCGGCGATGCATCGGCCAGGCGCTCCCAGACGATCCCAAACGATGCATCGGCGATGCATCGGCGACATCGGCGATGCATCGGCCACGCCAGCGGGGAGAACATCGGGCCCCGCATCGAGCCGCATCGGCGATGTATCGGCGATGCGGCGCGATCCTCCGACCCCATCTGCTCCGACAACATCTGGGAGGCCTAGACACGAGGACCGCTGGCCGAAGACCGCAGGGCCGCTTCTGGCCACCACGAGCCCTGGCCACGGCGCCTTGCCTTGCCTGAAACACACTCGGCGGTGGACAAACCTCTCTGTAGTAGAACGGCCCGGGACCGACACCGAACCGACGGACCTGGACCCGCAAAAATGACGGCCGCGACGCCCTCTCGCGAACCGAAAACGGCCAATTCGCTAATCGACGTGTCAGGGCAGGAGGTCTGCCCACCCCCGAGCGAAGAGGAGCCGCGCGGCGAGGAGAAGCGAACCCCGCACCCCCCCTCAGAGATCGTGGGGGGTGGGGGTAGGGCTCGCACGTGGCCCCCTGCTGTCGGCAGAGCTGGGAGGGGGAAGTGCACATCGACCTCGTGAGCCCCTCCCGCCTCTCCGGGGCGCCGGCCGAGGTCGAGAATTTCGGGCGTTGCGCGATGGGTCGGGAGGAGGAGGAGGAGCAGGAGGAGGAGGAGGAGGAGGAGGAGGAGGAGGAGGAAAAGGGGGAAAAGGAGGAGGAGGAGGAGGAACAGGAGGAGGAGGAGGAGGAGGAGGAGGTCTGTCCACCCCCGACACACACACACACACACACACACACACACACACCACGCACATCGACCTCGTGAGCCCCCCGGTCCTGACAAAGCCGGGCTCCGTCGGCGGCCTGCAGACGATGCTGGCGCCCTTCGCGCTGTTGTACAGCGCCAGTGGCCCTGGCCAGTCTCCCCCTCCTCCATCTCCTCCTTCTCCTCCATCTCCTCCTCCTCCTCCTCCTCCTCCTCCTCCTCCTCCCTAGGCCCTCGACATCCGACCCCGCATCTTTTCCACGACGTGGGTAAGAAGACTGGGCCCCTGCCCCCTCACCCGGGCCCTGGCCAGACCCCATTGAGGCCGAAAACTGCCCAAAGCCTTCCTTCTTGATTTCCTAAGACCGCGAGCACGTCAGGGCCTCTCTGGGCGGCGAGAGGTCGGAGCCCGATGTTCCACCGCCACTGCCGCAGGCAAGAGACAGATGGCCCTCTGGCCCTCCGGGGCGCGCGGCGACGTCGCGGGAGCCTGTGCGGTGAAGGGGCCCTGGGACACACAAATAAATACACACGAATAAAAGGACTCCCCATATTTTCCTATATTTTCTGGGTTCTCGTCTTCCCCCCCACTGCTCGTATTTTCCTATATTTTCTGGGGAATCGACGATTCATTGTGCCTGCGTGTTTTTTTCTCCTCCTGATACGGTCATGTGCACCTCCTCGTCCTGCCCCAGGGAGTGGGCACGGACATCGCGCCCGCGGTCCGCATGGAGGACGCGGGTCCCGCAGGGCAGGGGGCCGTGCATCGGCTGCCCTTGCCTGCTCGGGCCTCTGGGGCCCTCCACGGCACCCGGCCCGGCGCCGTCGAGGGACGACCTCGGGGCGGAGAGCTCTTCCTGGGGACGCCCTGGGCTCCGGGGGGCCCGCTTCCCCTCCTCCTCCTCCTGCTCGCTCATCCTCCCTCCTCCCCTCCTCCTGCTCCCCTCCTCCCCTCCTCATCTCCTCCTCCTCTCTCTCCTCCTCTCCTCCTCCTGCTCGCTCCTTCTGCTCCCTCCTCCTCCTCCTCCTCCTCCTCCTCCTCCTCCTCAGGACCCCTTCTCGCTTTCGCTCGGACGTCCCCGTGCAATTCCCAGTTTCGTGCGCTGGTTTTGCCAGCAAGGGGGGCGCCACGTGCTCCTCGAGGGTCCTCGCCGAGACGACGCGCACGCGCCCGAGCGATGCCAGGCCTTGCCCTCCACGGCGACCACGAGAGATGGCGCCTGCACGGACTTGTTGGCGGCGCGCACAAGGGGGTGGAGGTAGGGGGGAGGGCTTCTTAGAAGGAGGCTGCTTCTTAGAAGGCGCCGGCCTCACATCTATAGATCAAGCCCGCGCCTTCTAAGAAGCAGGGGTGCTTCTACTAGAAGCCCTCCCCCCTCCCCCCACCCCCCTCTGCGCGTGGCTGAACTTGGGCGCGAAGGAGTGGAGGGCGATCAATGGGGAGGGGGAGAATGGTGCCCCTTTCGGGCTCCGAAGGCCCCCTCGGGGGCCCTGAAGGGCCCACTTCCGGCAGCCCTCGCCGCTCCCGCGGTCGTCGCCCCCTCACTGCGCGACCTCCGACGGACCCGCCCGCACCGCGGGCCGGGCGGGGGCCAGGGACGGAGCGGGGGGGAGCGTCGGACGGCTCTTGGGGAGCTCTCGGGCGAAAGCTTCAATTTTGAGAACCGGGGTCGTACACAACATGCCCAGTTCGTGAGGATGCCTCACGCGAAAAACGCTCCTCCTCCCCCTTCTGTTCTTTCCTCGCCACACTTGGGTCCGAGCCCTCGCAGGGAACGTGTTCAAGTGAGCATCAGAATACCGAGGCGTCGATGGCATGAACTCATTGCAAGGGCGCTCCGTTGGAGCGTGACTCGGGGCGCCGGGCCCCCTCGGCCGGCCCTTCGCCCGGGCTCGCCCCGCTGCTGCCGCGCCGCGCGGCGCGCTCGCTCGTTTCGTTTCGTCTTGGCACGCGGCGTCGAGGGCAGGAGCGCGGCCCGCTGCTGGCCAGCAGCGCCCGCGGGAGGGAGGGGGTTGCGGTAGGGGGCCGACCACGAGAAGCCCAACCCTGAGACCCCAGGGCGTCCCTTGCTTTTTGGTGCGGGAACGTCCCGTCTTTCATTCGGGAGCGGCCAGGAGGGGGGTGTCCAGGAGGGGGGGTGGGGGGGGGGCAAATCGTGACCAGCGGCACGGGCGCGGCCCAGCGGGGGGGCCAGGGGCGTAATAACATAAGAAGAGGCGCTATCAAATCTGCGAAATATCGTGGCCCCCGCCACGAGATCCCATGCCCCCTTGTCAGCACCCCCCTCTTTGCCGCCCCTGGTTCGTGGCAGACCCATCGACGCCCAAGAAGCCCGGGGCACCTCTGGCAGCAGGCAGGGCGCCTCTCGGCAAAGGGCCTCCCCTGCAAGGCTGCAGGGAGTGGAGCGGGCGGCGGCCCGTGGGGCGGGGCGCACGGGGCCCCAGGGCGGCCCGGCAGTGGCCCAGGGCAGCGCCTGTGGACGGGGTGGACCGGGGTGCGCGAGCTGCAGGAGGGGCTGTGCGGCAGGTGCGTGTCGTGTGGACCCCAGCGCTGGCTCCTGACGCCGCGGGGATCGTGCAGCCTTGAACGATCGGTCGTCTCCTTGAACGATCGGTCGTTCCCGCAAGGTCCGGTCGTGCAACATCGACCGATTCCGGGTCGCTGGCGGCGTTCAACGGTGTCCGCCGGCGGCAGGGTCGCCGCAGGTCGACACGACGTGGATCTACCGTGGGAGTGTCCGTGGGGCTGGTGGATGGAGCATGCGGCTGGAGGTGGAGAGGAGCAGCTGGGCTTCGACGAACTGGACTCAGGTGAACGAAGGCCAGGCCAGCCCAAGCCAGCCAAGCGTCACGAAGCGTGAAGGCGTAACCAAAGTCAGAAGCAAACACACTACAAGTGACTGTAAGGCGACAACTGAATCACTGATGAAAGGGTGAAGCAAATCTCGTTCCCCATTGGAGACTGCTAGACCAACAAAAACAGCGAAGCTGCGAAAAGCCAACCTGGGCCGAGGCGATATCAGCACTCGCTAAGTTCAGCCTGGCTCATGGTATATGTCGACAACTGACTAGCTAGATGAGTTTGGGTCATCTGTGATAAGGCGCGAGAAACTGATCCCGACCGATCCCGACTAAACATAGTAGCCAAACAACACAAAGACCCAAGCAACCCGCCAGATGGAAATACGAATCGACGGGAACATTAAGATAAACTGGGCCAATCTAGGACACGCCGAAACAGGCAAAATTGCGCTGAGGCGCTAAGACAGCCGACGCCACCATACACAACCCAAAACAAACGACACGCCGATCTCAGCCCAGGTCAACGAGGCAATTCATGCTCGCTAAAACTGGGAGGGAGTGGTCGCATGACTCCAAGCTGAAACGAAGCTACCGCGTGCTAGTGGCTACATGTGTGAATTAAGATCAGTTGCGCTAGGTGAACTAGCATTCCACCATTCTCTGAAAACAAGAAAGCAACAAGAGCCTCGCAAAAGCCAAGCTAATACACAACCATCACGGGTCAGAACGCGCATAACAAAGCTGCGTGGCATATAATCTCTACTTTGCGCGAGCTCCTGCTTGCATGAGCCACGCTAGCGTATGTTTTGAGTGTGCAAACCCAATGTTGGTGAATCCTTCTGGTACAATAGGCTGAGGTGCCGTAGCCGGGGTCTCGACTCTTGCAGGACTGGTGAAGCAAAACTGGGAGAAGCTAATCTGCGACACGCCCTTTGCTGAGAACGCGAACACCAGCCAAGGCCCAGGCAAACGGGCCAATACAAAAGAGGGCACGCCAATAAATGCGAGACGGCGCGAACCAACTTCAAACCTCGTGCGCTGCAAGATGCAGCAACAATCCAACCTTCTAGTCTAAGCCAGCGGCTGTGGCAATCAGGAGTGCCGAAGCAAGCGACAACCACCACCGCAACATTGCTGTTCAGTCCCTCTATTTTGCGCCCAGGCGTCGAACGACCTGGGTCAACATCGTTAAGCGTGATGCGCACCAGCGTGTCTCATCATAATCATCATCAACATCATCTACACCGCCACCACCACCATCATCATCATCATCATCATCATCATCGTCATCAACAGCATCAGCATCAGCACCATCATCATCGTCATCATCATTGCCATCATCGTCATCATCATCATAACCATTGCCACCATCATCACCACCATCGTCGTCACCATGATCAACACCATGACCATCAGAATCACCACCATCATCATTACCATCACCATGACCATCAACATCAGCACCGTCATCAGCAGCATCGTCGTCATCATCATCACCTTCATGCACATGATCATAATCATCATCATCACCATCATCATCATCGTCATCGTCAGCATCAGCATCATCATCATCATCAGCACCATCACCATCACCATCACCATCATCATCACCATCGCCAACATCATCAACATCATCAACATGGCCATCATCATCACCATCATTACCATCACTATCATCATCAGCATCGTCATGGTCACCGTGATCGTACTTCATCATCATCATCATCATCATCATCATCATCATCATCATCATGATCATCACCACCACCATCACCAGCATCATCAGCATGATAATCATTACCTGTATCATCATCACCACCAACATCGTCATACTCATCATCAACAACATCATCACCATCACCATCATCACCATCATCACCATCATCACCATCATCACCATCGTCATCATCATCATCATCATCGTCATCATCATCACCATCATCGTCATCATCATTAACATCATCAACATCATCATTGATACCATGCTCCGTGTCCGCCTTCTGATCAACATCTCGACATGATGCTCCCTGTCCGCCTCCTGCCCCACCCGCTCCCCCTCCTCCTCCGGCTCCACTGCCGCTGCCACCGCTGATGCCGACTTTGCCTCTGCCTCGCCTCCGCCTCCCTTTCCAAAGGCGCCAGAGGAGGGCGGAGGCGGAGGCAGCGGAGGAGCGGGAAGGGAAGGAGGACACCAACTAGGAGGGGGAGGGCGAGGAGGAGGAGAAGGAGGAGAAGGAGGAGGAGGGGAAGGACGAGGATACGATGATGATAATAATGATGGTGATGGTGATGTATTTGATGAGCAGAATGGTGACAATGATGGTGTCCTCCCTCCTGAGCGCGCCCGCCTTGCTGAGTGGGGTCCCCTCGGGGTCGGCCGGGCGTGAACTCGCCGCCTGTGGGCAGCTCGAACGAGAAAAGGGGCTCGCCCTTCTGCGGTCGCACCACCAAGACGCCCTCCTGCTCGAAGGGGTGGGAGACCGATTCCCCTCGTCCTTCTCCTCCGCCTCCTCCTCCCATTTTTGCTCAAGTATCGCACATCATCAATACTGTTTCTCGGTGACCCTACCTTCAAAAACAGGGCTGGGTCCCGCTTTGTCGTGGGTGAGTCTCTCCTGGCGTACAGCAACTGATTACCAATCGCAGTTACCAGTATTTCTAGCTCGCCCCAATTTGGGTCCTGGGCCGCCTCGGGGCGACCTTGAAGGGCAGGGATGTCGGATAACCGACTAGCCGAAAATGTTCAAATCGCACAATTTGAAGAAGAGATCTGTTTTTGGTGTCTTGGAACCCCAGAGGGGGTCCTCTAGGAACCGTCTTGGAGCCCCAAAGGGATTCATCTTGGGCCGGTTCTCTTGGGCCGTTTTGGACCCCTCTTGGCGCTTCTCTGGACTTCCGTGGGTGATCTTGACACGATCTTGGGGACCACTAAAACCACTTGATCACAATTTCTCCTCTATGATAGCTCTGCCGCAGGGATAAGATTTTGGCGCTCCGCGCGGAATTCTCGCATCTGCGCTGGATCCCCCTCCGCCGCCGGGGGGGCCCAGCGCGGATCCAAGAGATCCGCGCGGAGCGCCAACAATTCATGTGCATGCCATTTTCCCTTCGTCGAAGTTTCTCACCCCGAGCCGAGACTTTTGTTCCCCAAACAGCTTGCTGGACGGAGTGCTGTTGTGATAGAAGCTAACTCCGGCCGGGGGAAAGGGGAGCAGAGACATCCTCACAAAAATCGGATGGTCCGGGCCGTTTCGCTCGAGACATCCTCACAACCCTCGTTCCTGAGTCGGCCGGGATTGGCCGTTTCGCCGGGACGCCGCGCGAGAGGCGGAGGAGGAGGAGGAGGAGGAGGAGGAGGAGGAGGAGGCGGAGGAGGAGGAGGATGGAGGAGGAGGGGAGGGAGGAGGGGGAGGGGGAGGTGAGGAGGAGGAGGAGGAGGAGGAGGAGGAGGAGGAGGAGGTAGGAGGAGGAGGAGGCGGTCGGGTATAATCCACGATCCCGAGGCCCAAAACGACGACCCAGCGGGGCGCCTCGCCCCTTGCGAGGCGCCGGGTGTCCGTCCGGGGGGGGGGAGGACGGCAGGCGGCGGGAGGAGGCAGAGAGCGCGCGGAGGGGGAGGGGAGCGCGCTCCGCGCGCGAAGTGCTCCTCCTCCTCCTCCTCCTCCTCCTCCTCCTCCTCCTCCGCCTCCTCCTCCTCCTCCTCCTCCTTCCTCCTCCTCCTCCCCCTCCCCTCCCCCTCCCCCTCCCCTCCCCCTCGCCCCCGCCTCCCTCCTCGCTCTTCCTCCTGGAGCGCCAGGCCCCCGCACCGTGCGTTTCCGCTCTGGGCTGGCACAGCGCGCCTGCCCCCCCCCCCCCTTCGCCCCGCCCTCCCGGAGTCCGGAGCCCGGGTGCACCGCACGGGCAGAACAGAGGGGGTGGCAGGAGGGAGTGCAGTCGGTAAGGCTGCAAGGGCCTTGAGAGGCCGCCATGTCGACCCTCTTCGGGCGCGGCCAGCGAAAGAGGCCAAGAATGGGCCGATCGGGGAAGGATGCAAGGGTATCCTTCGGAAGGTTGCGCTCATCCTTGCCATGCGCGTTGGCTGTACGAGGAGCGAGGCTTGGAGGCGCGCAGAAGGGGGGTAGGGGGGAAGGCTTCTCAGAAGCAGGGCTGCTTCTCAGAAGGCGCGGGCCTCACATCTACTGCGAAGGCCCGCGCGCCTTCCAAGAAGCAGGGGTGCTTCCAAGGAGCCTTCGTCCCCCACTACTCCGAGCTTCCTACTAAGCGCCGGGGGGGCGTCACCCCCGCCGACAGCCCCACATCGACCCCCGCCGCGGGCCGCCACCGCGCGCACAAGGCGCTCCGACACCCGTCGCGGCGCGGCGACGAGGCGAGGTTGACCTCCGTCGGGGAGGGTACACCCCCTCGCTTACCCAGAAACCCAGAGCACCCCTCGTTGCGCGTGGCCGAGATGAAGGGGCCCTGGGACACACAAATAAATACATACAAATAACAGGATCCCCCACATTTCCCCCTATGTTCTCGGCTTCTGTCTTCCCCCCCCTTCCCATACTTTCCCATATCTTAAGAATCGACGATTCATTGTGTCTGCGTGTTTTTCCCTCCTGAAGAGGGCAAAACAAGGCTAAGATCGGGATGGAATCGCTCCAGAGCGTTCCGGAGCGCTCTCAGAGCGTTCCGGAACGCTCTGGAGCGGCCGCGGCGCCCAATACATCCTCCAAACCCGCCGATTCTCAGAGATCTCGAATTATCCCGATCCGATTTTGTCCCGATCTTCGCGTCGTTTGGGAGGGGCGACCCCGAGCGCCTCCACAGCACCCGCGCGGCCGGCCCCGAGGCACGCCGCCAGGTGCGCCGCGGCCGGAGCGAGCGCCGCGGCGCGCCGCGGCGCCGCCGCGCCGGGCGCCAGGAGCGCCGCGGGTCCTGCTGGGGCGGGCCGCAAGGCCTCCCGCAGGAGGGCGCTGACGTCAGGTCGGGCAGATCCCTCTGCGGGCGGGTTGTCTAAGAAATAGGGATCTTCCTCCTCCTCCTCCTCCTCCTCCTCCTCCTCCTCCTCCTCGTTTTGGCTCAAACGTTCGCACGCCTTGCCCAGCTCGGCCGTCCCGATGGCTGCTCGTGGCGAGGCTAGAGGGGCTCTCTCTGCCGCCGGTGCTGCCGCGCTCGTCGCTGCGGCCGTCCGCGCGGCGGTGGACGCCCATGCGCCGAGGCGCACTGTCGCCGCCGTCACCCGCTCCGCGTGCTTGGCCCTGGCCTTCGCCATGGCCGCGCCGCTGGGGCCGCGTGACGCTGGCGCTGGCGCCGAGGCTCGAGGTGATGATGGCGTTCGGCCTGGGGGAGACGCGGATCCCGCGGTGCGGGCTGCGCGGCGGCGTCGCCGCCGCCAGCGCCGCGCGGCGCGGCGCGCGGCCGCCAGGGCGGATGCCGACCCGTCAACGGCCGTGGTGCCCCCCGCTGCGGCGGCGGCTGGCGCCGCGGCGGCCGCTGTGGCCACTGGAGCGGGCCGTGGGCTCGCGCTGATGGCCGTGGAGGCCGCCTCTGACACGGTCGATGATGTGATGGACGACGTGTGGGCCGACGGCCTGCATCGTGCACCTGCTGCTGCTGGAGGTTCGGTTGGAGCTGGCGGCTTGCCGCCTGCGGAGGCTGGGTCTGGTCGTGCGCGTGCTGGTGCGGATCCTGCGGAGCCTGTGGTGGCGGCTGCTGGTGCGGCGCCCGCGGCGATGGCGGTAGACGACGCCGACGGCGAGGGCGGGTCGGACCTCGAGTTCGACGGCTGGGCGGACGCCCTGACGCGCCGCACGCGGCGGCGTCCGAGGCGGGAGCCCGCGGCAGCGGCGGAGCCAGCGGCTGCTGGCGGAGCTGCTACGGGGGCGGCGGGCGGCGTGGCCGCGGCGGAGCTGGGTGCGGGGCCTTCGGAGCCTCCTGCTGGCGGAGCCGCTGGCGGGGCCGCGCGGCCGCCCCCCCGTGGCGCCAGGGTGCGCGCCACGGCGGGCCCTATGGCAGGGCGCGCGGGCCTGGTGGTGGGCTGCGGCGCGGAGCGCGCGGGCGTCCTTTTCGACGCGGACGGCCCGCGGCCCAAAGTGCGCGCGGCGGTGGGCTTCCAGGACCTGGTCCTGGTGGGAGGCGGGGCCACCCGTCGTGGGCCCCCCTCGTCGTCTTCGCGGTGATGCTCGGCGACTTCGGCTACTCGTCGGCGGTCGGCCTCATCACGGCCGGGGGCCCTGCCCAAGATGGCGGGCGGGCCCCCGCGGGGGGGGGCGGGCGCGGCCCCCACGCGTCCGCTTCACAGCGCGGGCATCATACTCCTCCTCCTCCTCCCTCCTCCTCCTCCTCCTCCTCCTCCTCTTCCTCCTCCTCCTCCTCCTTCTCCTCCTCCTCCTCCTCCTCCTCCTCCTGCTCCTCCTCCTCCACCTCCTCCTCCTCCTCTTCCTACTCCTCCTCCTCATCCTCCGCTTCCTCCCCCCACTCCTAGCCCTTTCGATCAGGGTCGGCGGCACCGGCCGTCAGGCCTCTCCAATATGGAAACTAGTCACCAGCCTGGAACATATCCCTGTACCTACGCTGGGCATCGGCTCATCACAATGCCGATCTTGGGGATTCCCTTGGTTGGTTTTTCAGGGCGCAGCCCTAAGATTGTCATCGCCTCTTGGCGTGTCAATCTTAGGGATGGGGATAAGTGCGAGGCTGGGCAACTAGCCAAAGCATAACCAAATATAGTCGTCCAAAGAGCACGGACAAAAATCGTCACCAGACTATTTTTCAATGTGCTTGAACATCCCTCCTGTAGAGGGACGTGCCCGACTTGACGCTACCGTGGAAGCTCGAGGCGGCAGAAAGCGGGCGCTGCGTCAGGGAGGGGGAGGGGGGGGCGATAAACGGGGGGCGCGAAGGACGGTGCACCCTTCTCTCGCCATCGCCCGGACGTCGATTCCCCGTGCATTTGTTCGGTCTCGCGCGCGTGTGTTCTGCCAGATGATCTCAAGATGCTCCTCGAGGGCCCGTGCCGAGGAGAAAATGCACACGCCCGACCGAGGCCGAGTGCGTGTGCCGTCGGAGCCGCACGCGCGCCCATCCCCATAACTAGGGGCCCTCGAGGGCCCCGTTCCTGCCACCTTCGCTCCCCCCTCCTCACGCGTCGCCCCACAGCATTGCAGCCGGAGCGCGACCACAAGAAACCTTCCTTGCCATCGCTCGGACGTCCATTTCCCGTGCATTTTTCAGTTTCGTGCGTGTTTTTTTGCTCGATGGTCCAGGATGGTCCTCGATGGTCTTCGCCGAGAAAGAAATGCACACGTCCGAGCGATGCCAGGCTTCTGGAAACAAAACCCAGCCCTGAGACCCCAGGATGTCCGTCGGCTTTTGGCAACTACTGGGGCCGTCACGTTCTCCATCTTCGATGAAGTCGGGCGTGTCCCCCTACACGGGGATTTTCGACGAAAAATATAAAATACCCCAACACTACTCCAAAAAAGGTAAAACAACACTAAAACAATGATTTTTTGAGTATTTTTTGTTTTTGTCGAAAATCCCGCTGTAGGGGGACAGGCCCGACTCAAATCTTCGAGCCATCGACCCCCCCCAACCAAAAAAGACATGGCACCCTGGAGGCAAGCAGGGTGCTTCTTGGCAAGGGCTTCCTTCTTGTGCGAAACGCCAGAACAGCAAACAAAAACAAGCAGCAAACACCGAACCTGTGCTCCCGGGAGGCTTCCGGGAAGCCGGAGAAGCCGTGTCCAGGGAGCCACGCCAGGAACTAAAAACGACGTCACTCTCGTCTGGCGCCGCGTTTCTGCTCGTGGCGTTGGACCCCTGGCGATCTCGGGAGCGACAAAGAGGGGGGTGTCCAAGAGGGGGGGGGGGTGCAAATCATGACCAGCGGCATGTGCGCGGCCCGGCGGGGGGACCAGGGACGTCATGAAATAAGAACAGGCGCCATGAAATGTGGGGGATTCTCATGGCTCCCGCCATGATATCCCCCCCCCTGGTCATCGCCCCCCTCTTTGCCGCCCCCGACGATCTCGGCCTCCTCCTCCTCCGGCCCCCCGGGGCCGGGAAGCGGCCTCCAGGGGCGACGGACGCCGCGAGCAGCTGGCCGCCGCTGGCCCTGCCGCGGCGCTCGGAGCTCGAGGCCGAGCCTGGCCTGGCTCGGAGCTCGAGGTGCCGCCAGGGAGGGCCCAGCGCCGGTCCAAGAAACCCAGCGTCGGAGCGCCAACAGTCTATGACTGTGCCGTGTTTTCTTCCTTCTTCGAGCCCGCACCCGACGACCGCCAGCAAAGACCTCTGGAGAGCCCCGCCGAGCGCCGAGGGAGACCACAAGCGATCCTCAGAACATCCTTTGGCGGGCCCACAGGCGAGCCAGGACGCTCCGCCACTGCTCTCGGGTCGGGCGAAAGGGGGGGATAGCAAAGGGGGGGTTCGAGAATCAGCTCACGTAGCTGATTTCCCGGCGCCTCCTGGCGCCGGAGGCGGCCATGTATCGAGGAATGGGCCCTTCGGTGAGGCCGAAACCCCCCGTTTCCCCGTTTCCCAATCCCCCCCCGTTTCCCAATCCCCCCCCTTTCGTCCGGCCCGATGCTCCACGAACCCGACGACCGCCACAGGAAACCCTCCGGGGAGCCCCGCCGAGCGCCGAGCGCCGGCCGCTCCTCGCAGGGCCGCCAGCGCGGCGGCGGCCGCCGCGCAGGCCAGCGGCGCCCGCCCGCCAGCCAGGTGCCCAGCCCGCCCGCGTGCCCGGGCCCGCCCCGCGCCCGCCATGGCCCCCGCGCGGCCGCACTGGCTCGAGCCGAAACGGCTCTGCCCACGCCCTGGCGAGGGGGGGGTCAGCTAGAGGCCTCCTGGGATGGGGTCGGAGCAGCTGCGGTCGGCAGACGCCGGCGACGCATCGGCGATGCATCGTCGGCGTCGGCGGTGCATCGGCGACGTCGACGTGAGGCGGATCGGGTTCCACATCGGGCCGCATCGGCGACGCATCGTCGCTGCGGCAAGGCCCTCTGGCCCCATCTGCTCCGACCCCATCCAAGAGGCCTGGAGGCTCTGCCCATGCCTGACGGGGGGTGCTCAGTGCCCCCGGCACGCGTCGCACTCACCAGAAGGCGTCTTGACTTGCGCGCTGTAAGAAGGCTTGGCGCCCTCTGGGCATCCGCGCGGTCGCGATGACGAAATAGCGTTTTTGTTGTTCCACGAACCCGTGCAAGCTCAGAGAGGGAACGCTGACCGCCGCCACCGAGAACTATTCGGTGTGTGTGTGTGTGTGGGGGGGGCGACCCCTGGGTGGTGGCACGCCCGAACGTCACCGAGTGCAGGACAACGTTCAGGCGTGTCACCGCCTGGCTCAGGGGTCGCCCCCCCCCGAACGGTTCTCGGTGGTGCCGGCCCACGCTTCCCAACTGACGACTTGAACGGGGACTGCGGTGAGCTGCGGCAATGACGCCCCCCCGACTGAACAGCAGGCGCGGGCCAAAACCTTCCCTCCTGGGTGGAACTTGCAGCGTCCTGTCTTGGCTCTTGGAGCCCCCAACTTTTGGCCATGACCGGCCTCTCGGGAGCGGCCAAGAGGGGGGTGCTAATCATGACCGTCGGCACGTGCGCGGCCCAGCGGGGAGGCCAGGGACGTAATGAAACAAGAAGAGGCGCCATGAGATCTGGGGAAATATCATGACCCACGCCATGATATCCACCCCCCTAATCATCCCCCCTCTTTTCCGCCCCCGAACCACGCCCGGCCCTCCGTGTTCGCTGAAGGCTGCACGGTTGCTGCCGTCCCTCAGCTCGCGCGGGGGCGGCCGCGAGAGGTGCCCCAACTTTCCCGAAATATCTGCGGAATTACTCGAATGACTGCCTGGTGCTTAAGCAAGATTGAAAGATTGGCCTGGTCTGTCTGAAGTCCCTCGGAGTTTGAGGCCCGTGGGAGGTGGAGACGCGGCCCCGCTTCGTCAGCTCAGAAGAACGATGCTCGAGCCAGGCCAGGAGGAGGCGGAGGAGGAGGAGGAGGACGAGGAGGAGGAGGAGAAAGATGAGGCAGAGGAGGAGGAGGAGGGACGACGAGGGCGACGAACAGGAGGAAGGGAAGTGAGAATGAGGAGGATGAGGAGACGGGTGAGGGGGAGGAGGACGAGGAGGAAGGGCGGGGATGAGGTGGAGGATGAAAAGGAGGAGGAGGAGGAGGAGGAGGAGGAGGAGGAGGAGGAGGAGGAGGAAAAAGAGGATGAGGAGGAGCGAGACATGAGGCTTCTGGGTCGCGCGGTTCGCTCAGGTGCTCTGCAAAATCCGCCGCGGCTGTATGGGTGACGCGTTTCTTCCCCTTCCCTCGCCTTCCTCCTCCTAATATTCCCCCTCCCTTTCGTTATACCTCCCCCTCCTCGTCCTCCTCCACCTCCTTCTCCTCCACTTCCCTATCTCGACACCTCCCTTCTCACATCATATTTCGTTCCTCTCCCTCCAACTCCTCCTTATCCTCCTCGTCCTCCCTCCTCCTCTGTCCTCTCTCTCCTCCCCCTCATCCCTCCCTCGTCCCTGCGCTCTCCTTTATCTCTGTTCCTTCCTCCTCCTCCTGTTAGGGCCATCTTGGGGTTCTTTTGGGCCTCTCTTGGGGCCCTTTTGGGCCCTCTTGGAGCCATCTTGAGGCGTCGGACGGTCGTCGAGAACAGAAAAGGCGAGAAGGCAACAGTCATTTATATTTTAAGAAGGTGCTTGGAGGAATTGGCCTTGTGGCGGCCTCCTGTGGGGGGTCTAAGATGGCCCAAGATGGCTCCAAGAGGGCTTCAACGTCGCAAGGTGGCCTCCAAAATGGCCCACGCTGCTTCAAAATGGGTCAATATAGCCTCCGACGTACCCCCAAGAGGCCCCAGGACAGCCCCGCGACGGATCCAAGTGCCCTCCGAGCCCTCCACGGCGCCGATCATTCACCCTTTTTGGAATCAGTGCTGGTTGCGCACTTGTCATTGTGATCTATCTGGGCGAAACAATTGCGAACCACGTGCCAGTTCTCTCATGACGCCGATGTGGGGTCAACGAGCTTCTGACCCGAATTCATTCTGTGCTCGGAGCCGGGCTGGCTCGACCAGCGATTCTGAAGTGCATTCGGAATGGCGCGCGCACGAGCGGGAGGGAGGTCAGCCAGCGAACAGTGCCGACAAAGCAGCATGCCCTAGGCCACCGCAGCGGTGGAAGACGAGAAGGAGGAGGAGAACGAGGAGGACGGGTGGAGTGGGGAAGGATGAATCGGGGGGGTCAAGAACGCGGGGGACGAGAAAAAGGAAGGGGGATGAGGAAGGGATAAACATGGGAGGGCGAAGGAAAAAGAGGACAGCAAGGGTAAGCGGGCAACGCTGACAAACCCTGGCAGCTCGGCGCTCTGCGCGTACTGTTGGTTCTCATGTTCCTCTTCTGCCCCCCACGTTTCCTCCTCCTCCTCCTCCTCGTCCTCTTCCTTCTCCTTCCCCCCCTCCTCCTCCTCTTCCCCTCCTCCTCCTCCCCCTCCTCCTCGTCCTCCTCCTCCCCCTCATCCCTCTTGATCACATAGTGAACGCAGCTATGCCCGCCGGTCGAGCAGCTGGCCTTGATTCGCCAACCCCGCCGAGGGCAACAACTGCGCGAACAAACGCTCCAGGACATTCTGGCTCATTGCGTTCCCCAACGCATGGCCGAACTGCCGATCCGACCCTGTGGAGCGAACGCGGCCCGGGCCCGTGCCCTGCGCGCGCGCCATCTCATCAACGGCGGCCTTGCGGCGCCGGGATGCCGACCAGAACCCAGAAGATGCGCCGCGCGAAGCGGTCGAGCAGGGCATCATGTTGGCCCTGTGATTCAACGCGCTGGAGCCCGCGTCAACGGCCACCCCGCGTTTGGAAATGATCTTGGGGCTATCGCAAGTCTGATAGAACAGCTTAACCTCGGGGGCGGGTTGTTTCATCATCCCCCCCCCCTCCCCCTCGGGCCCCCTCGCTACGGATCCGGGGCTGCGCTCTGACTGACCCGGAGTGCCGGGCGAATCCGGCGGTGGCGACGCGGGGCCTCGCAGGCCCCGACGTCGGTGCCATTCCAACGGCGACCGCGACCGCGACGACCACGTCGATTAAGGACGACGATGCAAGGGTGGATAGCTCCCGAGCGCCCCAGCCTGTTTGCGCTGGCGGTTCGCCGTCGCCGCGGGCTGGCCGTTGGCGACCTTCTTGGGGCTGGGGATCGCGGCGAGGTCCGGAGTGGGCTCGAGGGCCTCATGGGGGGGCGGCCAGAGCAACATCTTCGTCCTCCTGCCCCCCCCCCCCTCCTCGGCCTCCTCCTCGCTTCCTCCGTTTCCTCCTCCGTTGTTGTCTGCCCCTCCCCCCCATTCATCGCCCCCCCCCCTGATCTTCATGTCCCTCCCCCGTTTTTTGTGCAAACGTGTAGTGGCCTGCGGGGACTTGAAGGGGTGCGTCGTCTGGCTCTTGAGCGCGCCAACGATGTGCGCGCGCGACGACGCGGCGCGCCGTGTTCCCACGTGCGAAGAATCTGCCAGCGGACGTCACGCAGGGGCTGGTTATTATGGCCTTTGATGTTCTCGAGCTGCTTCAGGATCCAAGCGACGCATTCGGCGCGAATGTTAACCAACCCAGGAACGTTTTCAAGTGCGAAGGCCCACGGCTGCACGCGCTTGAGGTACTCGATAATGTCTTCGATGACACCACCCCGCCCATCATTCTCTCCAAGGTGGCGACCATTCTGCGAAAATGGCGGGCAAGGGAAACCAGCCGTGAAAAGCTCGGCCCGCCCGCGAGGGCATCCAGGCAGTGGCCCTATCACGTGTCCATCTCCCTGCCCTCCCACCCCCCCGCCCGCCATCTCCCTCCGCGGCCCCCCTGCGACTCGCTGATCGGGGGTCTGACGGAGTTCGTCAGCGATGCAGTGGGCGAACGGAGCGCGCCTCGTGAACGGGGCGGACGAAGCGTCGTCCAATATGACATCGCAATCGGGGAAATTGGCGGCCAAATGCTCGCGCAAGTGCACCTTTTGCTCAAACATGAAGACGGGTGCTGCGTTCACACCGATGGACTCCAGGGCCAGTTCGTCAGCCCCCAACCCCGTGCAACAACACCCCGTGGCCACCTTTGGCCTCTGAGTAGTGGGATCAACGGCTGCTGCTGGGCGGCGCCGAACCGTCGACGACATGGGGGCGGCAGCTGCTGGGCGCCGAAGCGTCGACAGCGTCGATGAGCCAGCCGAGGGCGGTTTCTTGACAAGAGCCACCGCTGGGTTCCGACGGGCCTTCTTCGCCGGCGAGCCGACGAAATCCCAGTCCAGGTCCATGGGGCCGACGGGCGTGTCCAGAGCTGGGAACGCAGAGAAGTGGGGGCGCGCGCAGAACCACAGCCGCTTCCACGCGAGTAGAAACGTAACCAACGCTTCGAACATTGGAGCTCATTTGGATCATCACCAAATCACTCCTCCTCCTGCTCATCCTCCTACTTCTATATCAGGCAAAGCTCCTGAGGAGCTCAAAAAGAGCAAACCCCCTATTATTATCGAAAAAATAAAAACAAGTTGCCCCCTATTATTATCGAAAACATAGAAACAAACCGCCCTGTATTAATATCATAAAAATACAAGCGGCATTCCTATATCGCTCGTATTATTTCTGTATTGTTTTTGTATTAATACAACCCAGCCCAAAGGCTCACAACGTATTGCCGAAAATGCTCAAAATACACAAATAATATCAAAATAATATGAAAACCGCATGCAAACCAGACAAGCTCACAACAAAAACAACGGATCCTGCGCAGCAGTGGATATAACCAACAGAGAACGGATCGTGTGCAGCGCTTCCTCTCTTCCTCCACCTCGTTTGCTTCCCTTCCTTTGTCGTTTCCTGCCGTCGTCCCTCCTCCCCGCCCCCTCGTCCTCGCCCACCCCTGCCTACCGTCGCCTTCCTCCTCTGCTCGTCCACCTCCCTTCCGGCCCCCCACCCCTTCTAAGACTCTTCTCATCCTCCCCCTCTCCTGTTCTGGCCCCTGCCTGAGCAGAACAATCGACGCGGCCGCCGTGCGCCGGGCTCGCCGTCGCGTCTGCCGTTGCACTGCGCGCGACGCGCGCGACCTATTTGACAGAAAGCACGTCGGAGCAATGCTGGGAAAACGCGCAAACAGTGGTTTGCCCGAACCCATGAACCAGGCGCCCAGAGCACGTCGCACTGTTCCCACTCCATGAAGAAATCAGCATTGCTAGCTGCTGCTACAAAGCTGCCACAACCAGGTCGCTGACATGCGACTCGAGCGCCTGCCCGAGCGTCGCTGCCACTAGGTCACTAGGACTAGTGACGAGTGACTAGGCCCCCCTGAAAGGATTTGCAGCGTTCGTTGCTCCCACCAGGCCGACTTGCATGAGTCATGAGGTTTGCCTCAATTCGGTTCCAGCGCCTCCAAGCGAAGTAGAGATCAGCGTTGCCACGCTGGATCCCACCGGGCATCACGAAACAAAAAATGTCGCAACGCCGAGTTCGACTCCAATGCCTGCCCGACTGCGAGCATTGCCAGCAGCTGCCAGCATTGACCCTGCCAAGGCACATCAGAGGATTCCAGCTCGAGCTCGTTGCCCCTGCCATGCCGCACGCGTGGATGTTTGCCAAGAGTTCGGCCCCAGTGGCGCCAGCGCCTGCCCGACTTGTAGAACTGGTAAACGGTAAACCCACCGCCCCTGCGGGTAGCAAGCCATCCTGGATCATCCTGACTCAACATGCACCAGGCCACAATGGCACAATGGCAGTCTGCCGTGCCGTAATTTGCTGGATCTCCCGATCGGCCCGAGCGCGACTTGGACTTGGAATAAACCAGCATGGCGCCAGCGATGGCCCAGGCCAACGCCCGGGCCTGCCCATGCCCCGCCCAGAAGCTCTGGGTGCAAGACATGACCGCGCTCGACGTCGACGAGTCCGACTGCGCTTGGCTTGGCGTTCGCCGGGGCTGCGCCGGGGCCGGCGCCCTCCAGCCTCGCGCAGAACGTCGCCGCAGCGCGCGGCCTGGGCCCGTCAAGCCAACTGGCACCCCAGCACTGACGTCTTCAGCGCCGAGGGCCGCCAGCCGAACGGCCGAGAACAAGGGGAACTAGATCCTGACAGGTCTCCGAAAAGTAGGTAATCCCTCCGGCCACCCTCTTTGCGCGAACTGGAAAAATAGGTGTTCTCCCGGGGAGATGTATTTTTCTTATATAATTATAAAAAAAAATAGAAAAATCATGTGGGAAAAACTATTTTTTAACTATTTTAATAGTTTTTGCGTTTCTTTTTTTATATTTTTTGCAAAAATACAAAAACGCCGAAACTGAAAAAATACCCGCCCGCCCCGGGCGCACCCTCGCCGCGTGCTTCCCGATCTGCTCCCCGGCTCCCCTCCCGGGGGCGGCTCTGCAACCTCTGCGGGCGTTGCCTGGGCGGCCTTGGCGCGGGACATCGTCGTCGTCGTCTGGTCGTCGGGCTCCTCGGCTGGAGGCCCCGCGCCTGTTGGCCGTGCTCTGGCTCCCGAGTTGGAGGCTCCGCGCCTGTTGGCTGCGCTCTGGCCTCCCGCCTGTTGGCCGGGCCCGGGGCCCGCCCGATGCCCGACGCCGTGGGGGGCCTCGGGCCCGTCGCCCCCAGCGCGCGCGACGTCGACGCCAACGGGCGGCGCGACAAGGATAATCAAAAAAGCAGATTGGCCTCGGCCCCGGCCCCTGCCCGAGGGCTAAAGTTAGGCTAAAGTTCGGCTAAAGTCACATGCGTTGGGGCGCTGGGCCCCAGGCCGCAAGGGCGCAAGGCGCAAGGGCTACCTAGCACTTACTTACTAACTACAATTACTACAGCCTCTGGTCTGCCAAATGGAACCGAAACCGATGATTGCAACGAACCGCTGGCCGACGGCCCGACGGGCACGGTCGCGGCGCCATGGCCAATTCAATTGCCAAGTGCCCATCCCATGCCATGCCCCCATGGCCCCATGGCCCAATGCCCATGGACGGCAATGGATCGGGCCAGCCAGAAGGTCTGCAGGCTGGGGGCTCAGTCGCTCAGTCCCAAGGCTTGCACAAAACAAACAGAGCGCGTCCGTCTCGGCCCTGGCCCTCCAAGGCGCGGCGCGGCGCATATGTCCAGACGAGGGCAGACAGATTGACAACAATTACAAAATCAGGCGCTGCACCGGTGTGCAAACTGCACGCAGGCCTAGGCGCAACATGCCTGCACGCCGCGCGCGGCCCCCTGATCGCGCCAGATAAATGACCGAAGGGGGGGCGGCAATGACGGGGCGCTGTGGCGGCGCTGCTGGCGGCGGCACTGCAACTGCAATGTGACCACGTTGGCAATGTGGCAGCGCTGGCCCCACGACGGCGGCAACCTGTCGGGGGCCGCTCGTCGCTCGTGCTCGCGGCCCGCGGTGATCGCGGGAGCGGGGGCGCGCCGCCCTCTGGTGAGATGACCAAAAAGCCGAAGGCGTTGGGCCTTGGGCTTCGGGCTGGCGGCCTGGGCCCGCGGCCAGGCCAGGCCAAACCAAGGGCGAGCGACCGCCTGCGCTCGCAAGGGCTACCCGGCTACCAGGCAGCGGCCACCAGCAGTGAACTTTACTGTTACTACTAATGCTGCTTTCGTAGGGGGTCCGACTCCTAAGTAGGGTCGCGCTGGGGTAATCCCTCCCCTCAAAGCCACTCTTCCTTTCCCTTTCCTCCTTATCCATACCTTCCCCCCTCGCCTCCCTTTCCCTACATCTTTCACTTCCTGGCCGTTCCCCCCCTCCCTGTTGCGGTGCCCCCCCTTTCCCGGGCGGGCCTCGCCTGCAGAATCAGGGTCCGAAGGCTCCGAAGGCTCCCACATCAGCCAACGGAGCCCAAGTGGCTGCGGGGCGAAAGCACGAGCAACGAAAGGAGGGGCAACAGGAACACGGGCGCCACATCCCCCGGGCAACGGAGGAGGAGGGGAGGAGTGAACCGCAGGTTCTCCGGGGGAGCCCAGGCTGTGGAGAGTCATGCCCTACCTTTTCCCCGGGGAAATTGCCTAAACGTATTATTATATTATATATGCACATGCACATTTTTCTATTCTTCTCATATTATTAGCATCCTTGCTGTGGAAGTGCTGCTCAGGTGTCTGCCGTTTATAGTCCTACTTCTCCTCTTTTAACGCCTAGCCTTGCCCATCCCCCTCCTCCTTCCCCCGGAGTCATCCTCCTTCTTTTCCTCCTCGCCCTCCTCCTCCTACTCCTTGTCCTGCGCTTCCCTGGCCGCCTCAACTCGCATGGGCGTCGGTCATGGATGGGTTGGTGGGGATGCGTGAAGCGCCAGGAATATGGATTCCTGCTTATGGCCATGTAAACGTCGGCGCTAACTCCAAAGAGTAGTTGGCTCCGAATATGATCCAGACCCCTCCTCCACAAGCCCCCGCCCCTGCCGGGGGGGGGCCGCCGGGGGCGACGGCCGCTTGGGGCCCCGCGACTTCCCGTCGGGGGGGCCGCGACGGCGGCGACAGCGACGGCTGCGGCGGCGACGGCGGCCACAACCAAGAGGAGTAGAAATATAACAAAGGGGCGAGGAGGGCGAGGAGGATGAACGGGGGGGGGGGGGGGGGGGCGCGAGGGGGGGGGGGGGGGGGGGGGGGGGAGGGGGTGGAGGAGGGGGAAGGGGGCGGGGGCGGAGGGGGGCGAGAAGCAGGAGGAGCAGGAGGAGAAGCAAAGAGGGGGGCAGCCGTCATCGCACGAGGCAGGAGGAGGGTGGACGAGGGCGCAGGGCGAAGGAATATAATTTTGCTGCCGCGGGGGGGCCGGAGTGCCGGGGGGGGGGGGAGGAGAAGCAGGGGCAGGAGGAGGAGGGCTAGCAGACGAGCCAGAGGCCTCTTTAATGCCTCTCGAAATCTCCTCGCCCGATGTCTTTTGGAAGCCTTGTGGGGGCCTCTCGGGGCGTCTTGGGGGCCTCTCGGCGGCCCTGGGCGCGTCTTTGAAGAGCGTCTTGGGCGCCTCGGGGAGCCTCCTCGGCCATCTTGGGGGTCTCTCGGGAGCCTCTTGGGTGCCTCTTGGTCACCTCTTGGGGCTTCCGGGGCGCCTCTTGAGGTCTTTCTGCGGCGCTCTTGGGAGCCTTAGGGCCGCTCTTGGGGCCATATTGGAGGAGATCGATCCAAGAAGGGGGCATCTTCAGCAGTTCTTGACGCTTCGCGCATCCCCACCAGCCCACCCACACTTTATTATCCGTTTTCGTGAAGCCTATTTGGAGACTGTCTTGAGCCATGCTCGGCCATTGGCTGTCGGAGGCTATATTGAGCCATGTTCGGCTATCTTGGGCCATATTGAGGCTGCCTTGAGGTTTATTGGGGGTCTGTCGGAGGCTGTTTTGAGCCGTGCTTGGCTATCTTAAGCCATTTTGGAAACCAGATTTGCCTATCTAGGGCTCTCTTGGTACCATAT